CGCCTTGATAAGGAAACTGCAGAACACTAGGAGTAGCCATCATGAAGATATCTTCTGCCTTATCTGTCAAAGAAGTTTCTGACTGGTGGGAATGAAAATGGTTTCCCCCCAAGGATTTTAAAACTCAGCCAGATTGATTTGAAATAATGTGTTATGGCCCAATTCCCAGAAATCTTGGCTACTTCTACTGTAGGGTTAATGTGATTTTATTTTCCATTATTTCTACCATCATTATCCTATTATTTCAGATGTCAGTCAGGTGTTATCTTGAAAGGGATAGGCAATAATCTCTATAACCTTACTGAAGAAAGAACCCTCTGAATAATTTGCATTTGGGTAAGCCCAGCCAGATGCTTGAATGCTAATTTGTTGAAGCTATAATTCCATATTACTCAAAATGGGTGACATTTCAATGATATTATTAATCATTCTTTCACTCATGGCCAGGTCTTTGTGTGATTGTCCTTCTTGATTTTGGTTGCCTTTGATTTCTTAGTGTAACTTTTATATTCAGTAATTGGACATGCTCATTAGCAATCTATTTAAGTAGAAAGACTAGACTTAAAATGATTTTGGAAGGTTATAAATTTTCTTTCTGATTAATTCAGTGAAATTGGACCAATCTACGCCAAATGTGGGTGTTTAAAAAGTTAATGTTATCCTTATTAGATATTTTTGTTAGATAGCTATGTTAGTTGAATGCAATTCTTACTTTAAACATACTTAGGCTAACGTTGAATTTATATGCATATTAGTTACTCTACTTTAGTAGTGACGTTTCCAACTCAGTTTAATGTAGACCTTTCAAATTCTCATCCAGTCTCAAACATAATACAACTCTTGCAGCCCAAACACCTAGCAAAACAAAGCAACAACAATTAGAATCTATGGGACTGAATCATTCTTTTTAAAAAATGTGTACTCATTATATGCCCATAGAACAATGTTGCTGTTGGCCACTATTTATTTATGTATTTATTTAACTCAATTTAGGCATTGCCCAACTTCAAATCATTCATGGACAGTTTACAATCAAAATAAAAGCACAAGATGGAATAAGATGAGATCCAATCAGGCATTCAAATGTCCACAACATACAGGCTGCATGGGACACATGCACTGGCTTCTGCCTTATTAACTCCCATCTTTCTCAAATTCATGATGAAAATCTAAAGCACGAGTTCCAGAAGTGACAATTTTTATACATCTTTGACTAGTGAAAATGCTGACATGTGCCCCAAGAAAATCT